ACAACTACCATATGACCCAGTAATGCCACTGCTAGGTATATTCAAAAGGAGAGAATTCGGTACATCAGAGAGATATCTGTAGGCTTCATTGTAGTCATCGTAGCACTGTTCACAATAGCCAAGGTTTGTAATCACCTGTGTCATCAATGGACAAATTGGATGAAAAAAATTGTGAAACATATACATCGTGGAATATTATATAGCCATAAGACAAATGTTAAATGTTCTTACTCATATATGGGAGGTAAATATTAAAAACAATTAATCTTGTGGAGACAGAGAAGAGAATGATGGTTATTAGAGGCTGAGTAAAATAGGGGGTGCGGGGGGTGGGTGTCAAAACCTTCCCTGGAATGGTTAATGGGTGCAAACACATAGTTAAATAGTTAGAATGAACAATATTTAGATAACGTAACAAAGTGACTATAGTCAACAATAAGTTAGGACATACTTTAATTGAAAGAGTGGGATTGGAATGTTCCTGGTAAAAATAAATAATAAATGCTTGAGGTGATGGATACCTCAATTACCTTGAATTGATCAGTACATACTGTATGCTTCTATCAAAAATTACATGTTTCCTATAAATATATTCAACTATTTGTATACCCATAATAATTAAAACATTTTTAAAAATAGATATCTGTTTACCTTTACAAGAACTAGAAGATAGTTTCTCTAGTTGGTATCTCATTTTATACTTCACTAATGAAGTATGAGAGTTTCTTTTTCTACGTAAGCTTTTCAATGATCGATTTTTTTTCTATCTTTTTAATTCTTGCTTACTTAAATTTTAGGAATCACAGTGTCACTGTGATTTTGTCTTGCATATCTCTGAAAGACTAATGGCATTAAAAACCTTTTTATGTGTTCCTTGTCCACTCATATCTTCTTTTGTGAAGTGTGTTCAAATATTTTGCATGTTTCTATTTTTAATTTTATATTGTTGTCAGAGGTGTTCTCCTGATATATAAGTTATTTGTCAGATAAATGTATAGTAACCATCTTTTCTCCCAGTCTGTGGCTTGCCTGTTTATTTTCTTAATGATGTCTTTCAGTGAGCAGAAAATTTTAATTTTGATAAAGTCTCCTTTATCAATTTCATTTTGCCTCGAAGTTTTGTGGCCTGTCCATTTTCTACTCCAAGGTCATGAAGAGAATCCATGTTTTCTTCCAGAAGCTTTATAACATTAGTCTTTAGATCTATAATCTATCTTGAATTAATTTCTATGCATGGTGTCAGGTAGGGGTCGAAGTTTATTTTTTTCCATAACAGCTCTTCAGTTGTTCCAGACCCCTTTGTTGAAAGCTTTCCTTTCTCCATTGAATTGGTTTGGCACTTTCCTTGAAAATCAATTGTGCAATTAAGTGTGGTTCTATTTCTGGACTTTATTCTATTCTTTGGACCTATTTGTCTATCTTTATTCCCTTATCATACTCTTTTGACTATCTTCGAGAATCTTATCTTTTTTTTTTTTTTTCTTTAAGTTCTATCCCTTTCACTGTGGCCTCTTGCTGGTTATTAAGTTCAGAGTTTATTTCAGACGTTAACACAGCTTCCAAGCTGCTCTGGATCTCAGCATGACCCTCGGTAAAATACAAAAAATAAAAAATCCCTTATAGGATTGCAGGGAGAAATATGAATAAATAATGTAGTGTACATTTTACAAGTATCTTATAATTCTAAAATGACATTTACATGTGTAGAATGTCGCTGATTTTTATGTCACTTTTTAGGTCCCTGTATCTTAAGATGTAGTCTCATCTATGTTTACTGAATTCCCCATGTAAGGTCTGCACCCCAAGTTTTAGATTATGTGGGGCACTTATTTGGTGGATGTAGGGGAAAAGATCTAACATAATTGACAGGGCACCTATTTTCTTCTCATTTACAATAAGCTACATCAAGCGGTGGGGGCGATCCTTTTTGATATTTCTCCTTGTCTGTTCTAAAAAGATAGGAACTGCTGGACGTCTAAGGCTTTGTTCTTCCAGATTTTTCTGATTGGCTCTCACAGACAGCCTGCTTCTCTTTTTTTTGAGGCAACTACTCTTTGCAGAATGACCCTTGGTCTCCCCACCCCAATCAATGACCTTTTAAACAGTTTTATTTATTTACCAGGGACTTCTTTGTCTTGAAGCGTGCATTGAGTTTCTTTGCAAGATTTTATTCTAGGATTAAAATGGAGCTGACTTAAAGGACTAAAAATCTGAACCCTTTCTTTATTCAAACTAAAATGAGCTGAATAATAATCTTTTCTCTTCCTCACTCATCTAAGAGCATTTCATGAAGATCTACAGAAAGTGTCAATTCTTTCATAACTTTTTTCTGTTATTGTCCTAATTCACACCCCAATTATCATTCTTATTTCTAAATGGAAACTTTTGTCCAAGTTTAATGGCAACTTTTTACTTGTTTGGCCTTTGTGTTTACTGGATTATAAACTCCTTAAAGACAACTATTTTATGTTAATTATCTTAGCTTTAGATTTTAGGATCAAACCAAGTATCTTGCATTCACTTAGTAAATGTTTATTTAATTATATTTATGATAGTTGAGTGTTGGTATTGGACAAAGACAGTGCCATATACATAATATACAACAGAGAAGCAATAATTGTTTATAATTTACTAATAGCAAGAACTCATTGATTAGTTAATAGTTTGAACACATTTGGGCAGTGAAGTCAAACTATCCTGTCTTTTCAAAAACATATTAGAACTATTCAACTGGCCTTCTGTAGATCAAATTATTTAAATAATAGCTCTTTTGTACTTTGTTCTGTCATTGTTATTCATAAGATTTGGGCTGTATCACCTTATGATGAATGAAAAGACTCTTTTAAATACTTATAATACCAAATTCCCCTGGAGAGAATTCAGAATAGATTTTTTGAAATTTCAAATTATATATTAATACTTTTCTAGTTAGTGTTTAAAGCCAGTTCTACGGTACTTTAGAGACAGGTGAATAAATACAGTTTTCAAAAGTTGTGGACATAAAAATGAAGCTCTAATGTCTTCTGCTACTAGATTTTCAAATGCTCTTATCATTATGCTTACGTAAAAATTGTTCTTAGGCCAGCTTGAGATTTGTTTCTGTCTCCTAAAGCAAACTGTATTCTCACTTCAATTTTTGGTAGACTGTGAACTTGTCCATCAAATCCTAGGAAGTTAGTTCAGGGGGTAGCCCTAAAAACTTAAATGGGGTAAAAATTAAGACAAAAAAAATTAAAAAAAATAAAAGAAGTAGGCATAGCAACAGGTGGTAATCATGTGAGGTTCCTTGCTCTGAAAGAAGTAGGGTGGCACCCCTATCTCAGTGGGCAGGGCCCCTGCCGCATACACTGAGGTGGGCAGGTTCTAACTGCCCGGGCCAGCTAAATGACAACTGCAACAAAAAAAAATTACCCCGGTGCCTGTGGTCCCAGCTACTTGGGAGGCTGGAACAGGAGAATTGCTGGAGCCCAAGAGTTGGAGGTTGCTGTGAGCTGTGACGCCACTGTACTCTACCCAGGGTGATAGCTTGAGACTCTGTCCCCCACCCCCTAAAAAAAAAAAGAAAGAAAGAAGTAATATAAATCAAAAACAAATTCTGGTTTGTTTGGTTTTTGAGACAGAGTCTTACTTTGTCCCCCTTGGTAGAGTGCTGTGATGTCACAGCTCACAGCAACCTCCAACTGGAGCTCAGGTGATTCTCCTGCCCCAGCCTCCCAAGTAGCTGGTACTACAGGTGTCCGCCACAAGGCCAGGCTATTTTTTGTTGCAGTTATTGTTATTGTTTAGCTGGCCTGGCCCTGGTTTGAACCTGACAGCCTCCATGTATGTGGCTGGCGCCATAACCACTGTGCCACAGGTCCCAAGCCAAAAACACAAATTCTTAAAAAATTTTCAGATGAACCCATAGAGGACCGACCCACAAACCTTATTGTGGGTACTGTGGAGAACTGGAAGTTTGGAAACGTACCGTTTAGATTGTGATATTAGGACAATTCTATTTTCCTAAAACATCCCTCTAAATGTCTAAATGTACGATAAGCATACTAAACTGTGTAATGAACTGATCCAATATAAGCCCCAGTTCCATTTTTAACCCTGAAGGTGTGGGGACATAGTGACAAGGCAAGTTGTCTGGTGTTAGGAATTTGGAACACTAATAGATCTTTGTTGAAAGTTACATTCTGTGGGTGCTAGCCTTTTTTTTTTTTTTTTTTTTTTCAGTTTTTGGCGGGTTTGAACCTACCACCTCCGTTATATGGGGCCAGCGCCCTACTCCTTTGAGCCACAGGCGCTGCCGGGGGTGGGGGTGGGGGTGGGTGGGGGGTGTGTGTGCTAGCCTTTTAAGGAGGCCTCCCCCCTGCTGCAGGGACCATGGAGTTCAATGCTAGGTAATTTTGTCAACAACTTCTAATCATTTTTCCCCTAGGCAGAAGTGTCCAACCTGAGGCCCTCAGGCAAGCTCTGGCTGATTTTGTAAGGACTTTTTTTGTTAATCTGTGGTGTGGGATATGTGAAAAATATACATGGATTTTTTTTTTTTTTTTAATAATTGGCTTGCTTTAGTTTTTGTGTATTTAATGTTTGGCCCAAGATAACTCTTACTTTTACAACATATGGAAGAGAAGAAAAAAAATCTGTGGCACCTGCTACAGATTTTAGGCAGGTTTTTGTTTGTTTTTTACTCTTTCAAAATGCAACACTGAGATCTTTTTCATTGCTTCTGGCTAAATAAAAGTGAAGGGCCTTCCCTTTCCTTCCCTCTCTGGATCCTGAAATGTTTGAGGATGCACAGTTGGCGAGTGCAAGCGCTAAGGTCCCCTCTCTACTGAATACAGGGATGGCATTTCAGGAAACAGAGCTTCCAGGGCCCCAAATACAACGGCTCAAAAGAGGAAACCCGTAGTCAGGCGATTTAGGGGAAGGGCTTGGCGACGTTGAGAGTCGGGTTTTAGAGGCTGAGAGCTAATTATCAGGAGATTAGCCCAGAGGGGAGGCGCCTGCTAGCAGCCGGCAGGGTGACGCTCCCCAGTCCCCGCAGTGCCCGCGCGCCCAGCGGCTGGACGAGTTGGCTGCTCCGTCCCGGTTCTCCTGGTCGTAGGTCCCCGGGGCAGGGTGTGGAGGGACGGCGCGGAGAGGGCGGAGGGCGGGCAGGGGACAGGCTGGTGGCTGGTGTAAAACTTAAGGGGTCTCTTCCAGGCCGAAAGTTCTTGGCTCCGTTTAGCCGCGAACCGTCCGCTTCCCAAGCGATCACTTCTGCAAAGACTTCGTGTCCCCGTGTGGGTAAGTGTTCCCGTTTCCCAGACTCCAAGAGTGAAACTTGGGAGTTAAGTCTTTTCATGTTTGAGCGATGATTTCCTGACGCTTTGTTTTTAAGTCGAAGTAGCCTCCACTTTGAACGGGTCCCTTGAACTTTGGGGGAGGGAAAGTCACGTGCAGCCCGTGTCACAGGCACAGGGGAAGTCTTCCTTGAGCCACTTTTCTGCCCTCCAAGGGTGTAAAAGTGTAAAATCCTGCGGGGGCAGGGGGCGGCTCTGATTTCACGGACAGAATGGCCTTTGTACCTTGCAAGACAGGGTTTTGCTCTTCTCGGTTCACTTTGGTAGGCAAGAGAAACATAACATTTTAAAAATATTTATACTTAATAATAATGTTTGATATCAATACAAGGGGATAAGGATTAGACTGTGAAACTGTTGCTTTTACAGCCAGATGACTGGAGAGCTAAGGAGTGAAACCTTTTGGGAGGGTTCCCATGGATGCGGCTCTACGCCCCTCCTCCGGCCTGAAGGAGAAAGCCTCGTGGGAGGAGGAAAGGAGAGGACAGCTTTGGGGGAATGAAGGCCTCAGTTGTTATTGCCCTGGCGGCCCTGGGCGTGGAGAGAGGGGGCCTGCCGACCTTCTGTCCTCCTTGCTTCCCTTGACATGTGGTCATCTGAGCAGCACATTATTTATTTTCTCATATTTCCTCTTCCTTTTTTTTTTTTTTTTTCCAAATGAGTGCCTTCTGTGTGCTTATCAAGCGCTGTGGGGTGTCCCTCAGGTCCCCAGCAAATACTTTTTAAACCGAGGATTCTCTTCTACCCAGGCTAAGCCCACCTTCGATGTACTCCAGAGGCATTGCTGTCCTGGGAGTTCGGGTGCTTCTGGGCTTTGTTCTCTGTTGTTTCCAAAATAAGATGACTATGTTGGCTACTTTTGGTCATTTAAAAAAAAATGACATATATGTCCACATTTGAATATTATTCTGTGGCAGGCAAGTACAGTTTTCCCAGGGGGTTGTTTTAGAGTGGTGTATATTAATTGTGGAGGCTGGAAAAGGCGGTCAGCCCGGTCCCCTGAGAATGGACTTCCCACCACATTCTCTTCTGCCTAACCCAGAACCACCAGAACATTGCTCCTGGTCCCTGGGATTCCGGAGCCCTCTGTGTCTGAGACCCTATAGGAGGCTGAGTCTGCAGCCACCCCAGCCCCTTCAGTAAATTCTTCAGTAGAATTGATCCATGTAAACAGCAGTACAGCCACTGAGTTATCTTTTTAAAAATTTCATATGTAGTACTTGTTAGTTTCAGAAGATAAAAAATTGCAGAGTCATGGACCTGGGCATGTATGCCCAGATTTTCAGTGTGTTTCACAATATTGACGTACAGGGGGCACGGAACCCTGAGAAGAGAACTTTGCTCTGTTTGGCCAAGAGCCTCAGAAGGGAAGGGGAGTTCCTCAATGAAAGGTGAAGAGATTTCCTGATAGATACTAAGGAGGGAAACTAGGAAAGGATTGGGATTTAATGGGAAAAGAACCTTCCGAAAAACAGAATTCTTGGCATGGGTGGTGGCCAGCCCATGAGTTAAGACAGTTGAATCCTGGTCTTGGTCTCTCCAGCTGTGAGATTGGGTCATGTTACTCCCTTGACCACTCTGGGCCTCCATTTCCTTTTAGACTAAAGCTAGAAAAAAGTGTTATTTGCGCTGACTACTTTAGGGTTTTTCAGATGAAGGGAGGTAAAGTATGCAAAAAGTTTTTGGAAATTCTAAAATCATATCCTCAGTACAAAGAAGGGCACCAAAGTCGAGCTTTCTTATTCACTAAACATTTATATAGCACTTAGCAGGGCTCCATGCTTTTCTGAGCACTTCATGCTTCACTCAGTAAATGCTCTCAAGAACCCCATATTCCACCCGGAGTCCTCTTACAAGGCAGTCACTTCCACACTGGGGACAGATCCCTGGTCTCTGGAGATAGGTGGACAGATCCACTACTATGTTGGGCACTAAATAGATGATAAAATGAACAAAGCATTGTACAAATGTAATTCATCATCACAAATATTTTCTACAATTCATATCCAAGTTTCGTGTCTTTCCCTGCTTACTTTTCTTGGATTATTTCTTCCTCCTTCCTGGAATACTCAGGTTGCTTCACATTGTATTTCTTTCTTTATTATTATTTGTTTTCTTATTTCTTATTACTACTGGACTACTCTTACATTTCTGGTTACCTTTCCTGATGAAAGCTTTCAGCGACGTTGACTGTAGTGCCCATTCACAATAATGGCTTGAGTTTTGTGCGGTAGGCTCATGGCAATTTATTGATAAATCGGCTTTAGGGGGGAGAAAAAGTCCAGACCAGCATCACTTTAATCCATGAATAAATGACTTCTATTTCTTAATTTTCTTAACCTTTGCACCTCATTAGTTGGCTTTCAGGCACTTGAACAGTGAAAGATGTTATCCAGTAGAGGCTGTTCTTTGACCTGTAGGGCGTGTATCAGAGGCTGGGTGTTGGCTCATCTTATAAAACCACAGACTGGAGGAGTTTCGCCACATTCTTCACGATTGAGAAACTCTCTGTGTGAAGTGTGTTTTCTTTGTGTTGTTCTTTTGTAAAGAAAAAGCCTCCTTCTCCCTTTCCTTCCCGGGCTGCAGACATCTTTGTGTTCTTTTCCCACTAACCCTTCCGGAAGGCTTCTACTTGTTCTCTGTTCTTAAAATACTGATTTTTACTGTGAGAGGAAAGAAAAGTTCTCTGGACTTTGGTTCCTTCCCATAAATCAATTTACATTCTAGAAACGTTAGCAGAGAAAACTATAGAGACTTCTAGCTTTAAAATGATTATTAAGTAGCAACTTGCTTCTTGATAAACTTTCTTAATTTTTAAAAAAAAATTAGCATTCTTGCTGTATTTCGTTAGATCTGTGCCCAGAGGCCTAGGACTTAGGGATCCTTTACTGAGCTAATTCCTTTATATGTGCTCTGAAAGATAATGCAGTTTATTCATGACTTTTGTCTCCTTAGTACTAGAACAAGAGCAGGTATCTTACATGTTACCGAAAGTATTATCTTGCCCTGAGAACTTATCTAACAGACTCTGCATTTAAGACTTCGGACTTGTGTATTCATTTTCTATCCAATGTGGGAATTAGAAAAAAAACTAGAATCGTTTTTATTTGCCTAAATTCAAGCAGTACATTTTTAGCCTAAGAAAAGAAAAATGGAGATTTATTTCGGAAGCTTTGGTTCCTGTATCTGCAAAATGGGAATGATTATACCTACCTCAGGGAATAACTGGAAACGGAAAGAAGCTGACAGATGTCAGGCATACCCAGCCGTGGCAGCCACAAAGTAGGCATTCAATCAATGTCTGCTGAATCAGAATTAATTGAGAGCTGAATGAATCAAGTCTCTTGAAGGAGACAGTACAATGTGGTCAGTGTATGGGATGTGAGGTCAGAGACCTGGGTTTGTGTCCCAGCTTGGCTAATGCCCATTTTCTTCATCTGTGAAATGGATGTAGTTATGATAATTATAAGATAGTTACCCTCAAGACTACGTAAAGTACTGCACAAAACACAAATGACATAGTTGGACATGTGGTTTATATTATATTCAAAGCAGCATGTAGATAACTATATGATCAGTAACAATATACGGTATGGTGACAAAAAATGCATGCACATTTTAAAAAGGGAAAAAAACTATTAAAATTGCAACACGCAATATAGACTGATAAAATTGTAATATGAATAGAAGCCACGTTTGAGCACCTGTTGTAATTATAGAAGTCAAATGTGATTTGAGTGTTACAATTTTAATAGTGGTTTTTTTTTTTTTTTTTTTTTTTGTGTATTTTTTTTGAGATAGCTCAAGCAAGTCTCCTGCCTCTGCCTCCCAAGTAGCTGGGACCACAGGCGCCCGCCTCAACGCCTGGCTTTTTTTTTTTTTTTTTTTTTTTTGTGCTCTCTGTATGTATAGATTCTTGGTAGATGGGTAGAATGATCGGAACCTGGTGCTTATGGGGCTGGTAAATTCCCATGCTGGGATTGAGTTTGAAAGGCAGGAAAGAACGTCACCTAGAAGAGGTGCTATTATATGCTAAGCAGGGTACACAGTGTCTACGCGTGGGTATGAGAAAATGTGTGTTTCTGTGGAAAGGACAGAAGAAGTAGATAGCAGGGCTGATAAAAGAATAAGAGGAGGTTAGAAAGAATGACCTTCCAATAGGGCTGAGAGTTTAAATTTTAAGCCTTGGCTCAGCACCCGTAGCACAGCAGTTAGGGCACTGGCCACATATACCGAGGCTGGAGGGTTCGAACCCAGCCAGGGCCTGCTAAACAACAATGACAACTGCAACCAAAAAATAGCCAGGCATTGTGGTGAGCACCTGTATTTGGGAGGCTGAGGCAAGACACTCGCTTAACCCTAAGAGTTTAAGGTTGTTGTGAGCTGTGACGCCATAGCACTCTACCAAGGGTGACATAGTATGTCTCAAAAAATAAAAATAAAAAATAAGTTTTAAGCCTTACCCTGAAGTCCCATACGTTTTTGACTTCAGTATCAACAACATGTCTTAGCTTTCCTCCTGAGCACATTCCTGATTACACTTTAACTCCGGACACAGGTAACAAACAACATTCCTTTCCTCACTGGCTTTTAGACGGTGTAACTGTGGAATGTGACATGACCAGAAGAGTCATATAAAGCTAGATCTCCTTCTTGTATTTCTTCTATGAATGTGCCATGACCGCTAATTCCTTCCCTTGCATATGCAAGCCTGTTACTGTGAGGTTTCCATTATCCTGCTGCTGTCCTTCACCTGGCTTGGTCTTAGCAGTGAGCATGATTTTAGAATAGTGATGCTCACGATCAAGGTCGCCTAAACTTTAAGGTTCTTCATGGGCCAGTGGCTCTGGGAAGTATAGAGACTGAGTTGTCTGAACAAAACTCAACAACAGCTCATTAAGTTAGACACTGCTACTACTAATTCCTGTCTTGTAAATTAAGAAATTTAATCTCAGAGAGGCTGAATCCCTCAAGCACATTTAGTAACTAAATGGTGGACTGAAATTTAAATCCTGGAGTCTATGATTTTGAATACTATTGAAATGACAAAAAACTATTGGTTTTGCAAAGCAGGACATCGATTAGAACATTAGCCTTCCTGATCAAAGCTGCGGTGGTGGTGCTGCTGTGTCCATACTTGAATGTGTCTAAAGACGTTATTCAAGGACTTGTGGTCTTGTGCATTCAAGCAAGAGTTCATCGTGGTGCAAACCTGTGATTTTAGTCTATGTTTAGGGCATTTGGCCATTGATTTCTGATTGTTAAGACCCTCAACATTTTCATTCGGTCCTTGTTTGATACAGAACTAGAGAAAACATAATATCGCTTCCTTTACAATTTTGAGAACTAAATATTCATTTCCTCTGAATATAACCCAAGATGCTTTCAGGAACAGTATAGTTTAAGCTGCAATATAGACAAATCAAATGGTCATGAAGTTATTTTGGGTATTTTGGGTATTTTGGGCGCGTGTGCTTTTTCTCATCTTGTCTAAAATCTTTTTAAGATTCCAGACCAAACCTGAAAAAATGATTGACCTTCCCCAGCTAAAGGAAAATGATGTATTCGTGGCCTTTGCCTCCTATACAACAATCGTTCTTTCCAAAATGATGTTTATGAGTACAGCAACTGCATTCTATAGAATGACAAGAAAGGTAAGAAATTTGGGGGTATAATCTTCTTTCTTTTAAGAGTTGGACATCTGAAAAGCAGAATTAATTTACTTTCCTTTTAGGCCTGTATTACACTGTTTAATGCTATAGGTGTGGTATATAATTATTTGATACAGATGGACTGAATATATTTCTGGAACAGTTACTTCTCTCAGAAACTAGTAAATGATTTTTTTTTTCCTTGTGATGTTTACATTTTGTCATTCTCAGCAGATGAGATCTCTGAATTATCCAAGTTTTAAAGGAAACGTTCTGTGATTTTGGAGTCAATTTTGCCAATAGGGTTTAGAAAATAGTCATTTTCCACACAGTTAACTGGTGCTTTCCATTTTATTTTTTTATTTTTTTGAGACAGAGCCTCAAGCTGTCCCCCTGGGTAGAGTGCTGTGGCTTCACTGCTCACAGCAACCTCCAACTCCTGGGCTCAAGCGAGTCTCCTGCCTCAGCCTCCCATGTAGCTGGGACCACAGGCACCCGCCACAACGCCCGGCCATTTTTTGGTTGCAGCCGTCATTGTTGTTTGGTGGCCCAGGCTGGATTTGAACCCGCCACCTTAGGTGTATGTGGCTGGCACCTTTAGCCACTTGAGCCACAGGTGCCGAGCCTGTTTTTCTTTTTTAACTCTTGATAGATTATTTGAAGTATATAAGAGTATACTCTTATATAAGCTACTTTATATAAGTATATAAAGTATATAAGCTACTTTATAAGCTGCTTCAGTGGCATTATTTTCAAATCTTATTGATGTTTAAAAGAACTGTCTTTGATTTTCACCTTTTAATTTCTGCAATACAACCTTTGCTCCTCTCCCTCTCATTTAAAATATTTGTGGTTTTGGTTTTGGGCATGTAATTTTTTTTTTTTTTTGGCACTTTTTGGCCTGGGCCGGGTTTGAACCCACCACCTCTGGTATATGGGTCCGGCGCCCTACTCCTTTGAGCCACAGGCACCGCCCAGCATGGAATTTCTTTAATGTTGATTTTGAGATAGTGCAAAGCAAGCAAATCATCTTATCTTTGCAGAAACAAGATAATATTGCAATTCCCAATTCTCAATTAAAAAATAGTTTTCTTCTTTCAGCATTTTTTGGGTCTTTTTTGACATAAAGGGCTGTTAAGTAGACAGAATTAAAAAATACTGTTGAGCTATGTAACTATTTACAATTTGTACTTGAAACAGAAATACAGTGTACTATTGTCAAAAGCTGGTAACAGACGGAATTATTTGACCCCCATAAACTCTCACCAACCAGCTGAATGTGGCAGTGGTACCACTGAGGTGGGGAAGTTAGAAGTCAATCATGAGCATATCAATTTAGCTATTATGGCTTACTAATGTCCTTTTTCTCTTTTTTTTTGAGACAGAGTCTTACTATGTCACCCTCGGTAGAGTGACATCACAGCTCACAGCAACCTCTAATTCTCGGGCTTAAGTGATTCTCTTTCCTCAGCCTCCCAAGTAGCTGGGACCACAGGCACCTGCCACAGTGCCTGGCTATGTTTTTTTTGTTGTTGTTGTTGTAGTTGTCATTGTTGCTTAGCTGGCCCAGGCTGGGCTCAAACCAGCCAGACTCGGTGCATGTGGCTGGCACCATAACCCCTGTGCTACAGGCACCAAGCCAGGCTTACTAATGTTCTAATTCAGTCTGGGAGGATTCTTTCACTGAAACTTATTTCATTCTTTGGTATTTGAAATACATTCACTTAAAAAATAAAAATATAAAAGACATGCAAAAATATATGAATAAGAATAAAATGATTTGTTCTTTAAAATTTGAATTCAGTCAAAAGTCACACCTCAGGACCTAGAAAGCCCCATGATGCCTTAGGGTGGCAGGTTTCCCACCCCTGGCCTGCTTTCTGTTTGCAGATGGCGATCCCCTTATTGCATCCTCACCTGGGTAGAGCAGCAAAGGAGGAGAGAGGGAAGGAGAGAATCAAGTTTCTCCTCTCTTTTCCTTTTTTTTTTTGGAGACAGAGTCTCACTTGGTCACCTTCTGTAGAGTAATATAGTGTCATAGCTCACAGTGACTTCAAACTCTTGGCTCAAGCAATTCTCTTGCCTTAGCCTCCCAAATAGCTGAGACTATAGGCACCCACCACTACATCCAGCTTTTTTTTAGAGATGGGGGTCTTGCTCTTGCTCAGGCTGGTCTCGAACCTGTGAGCTCAGGCAATCCACTGGCCTCAGCCTCCTAAGTGCTGGGATTACAGGCGTGAGCCACCACACCTGGCTCTCCTCTCTCTTCTTAAAAAGACACTGTCACTGTCCATTTATGAGGACTCCACTCTTGTGGCCTAATTATCTCCCAAAGACCCTACCTCCAAACACCACCATCATACTGTGGATTAGGCTTCAACATATGATGTTCGAGGGTGGGGTGGGGTGGGTGGAAGACACACAACCTTCAGTTAATAGTGAAAGCTTATCCAAGGTTACAGTCAAGTAAAGAGTGAGACAGATTTAGAGTGAGATTGTTTTAAGTCCAAATCTCATGCACTTTCCATTGCAAGACACTTATTTCTTCATTCAGAATGTGTTTATTGTACATCTAATATGTGCCAGGCATTTATTTAGGGGACACTAAATGAACCAGAAAGACAAGCCTGACCTCAAGAACTGATACGGAATCACATCTCTGCCTGCCAGTTTTCCTCGACATCTATCTAGGAGTAAATGCTCCCATCATATTAAGAAAGAAAATATTATAATATTTATGAGATTTTTGAAGCTTAAATTAAGACTGATTTTGCAGTTTGTGTTTTTCTTTATAGTAAATTATTAAACAGTGGGATAGGCGTAAATGTTTTTTAAATGCATATTTTAAGTTTCAAGGGATGGGGAAATCATTTCAAACAGCATAATAATTGCAGGAAGGAATATATGGAGATGTACTTGTTATTCTTAGGAATGCAATTCGGCTTCTTAAATTTCACTGTACAGTATTATTCAACTCCAAGTTTTATCTAGTTTAGGAAAAAGACATGAGGTGCACATATCCTATCCTAGTACAAAATGCCTTCCACTCCTCACTCTTTGAAGCTTCTTGCCTGCTCTCTAATGTCTTTGGCAAGTAAACCACTTTCAGAAGAGCCAATCACCTAGAAATGCACTCGATGGAAGGTGTGTTAATGTTAATACACTCGAGGGAAGGTGTGTTAATGTTAGTACACTCGAGGGAAGGTGTGTCAACATCACTAAGAAAGAGATGCCAGGGAACCATAATCATAGTCCATGATGACTTAGAATTATACCTCTTTTCTACTTTTATTTCCCTTCTACTGTTTGACGCGTTGGTTTTTATTTGAGTTCTTATCTGTGCTTCTGTTTTTAAAAGTTTACATTGTTAATAAAAATTTGGGTTTGAAGTCTAGGTGCTCTCCTTTCTTCTTGTGTTTGATTTATTGCTGACCATTTTCTTTTAATAAGTGCCAACCAGATGCCTGTCCTTCTTCTATTAGAATGCAGATAACTGACTACATAGAATACTCCCATGGTATTTGGGTGTTGGGATAAGTTTTTTGCCTTGGTATTTGGAATAGGTTTTTGCCAACCCTGAAGACTGCGCAAGCTTTGGCAAAGGAGAAAATGCCAAGAAGTTTCTTCGAACAGATGACAGAGTGGAACGTGTGCGAAGGTAAGCCACTGTGTCTTGAAATTACTTCCTAGATCAAAGAATTTTGGCCAAGGAGTTTGATGAAGATGCCGGATCTCGGAGAATAAGAAAAGAAGCCAGTGATTTCATTTACTATATGTAATAATCACAGAAATTAGGGCTCTGAAAGTTTTTAGTATTATCAGCAACTGCATATATTGCCGATTTTGCTATACCACACTGTCATTGGCAGGTTTTGGGGGTCAGTGACTTTGCTCTGTATAGAAATGGCAGGTAAGAGGTAAAGTGGGGACAGTGAATTCTTATACTTTTGTCATCTTTCTTATGTAAATGTTTGCACAACTAGGTGCTTTTACATAAAGATTCAAAATAAGGATGTTGACAATTTTTGGAGAAATAGGGAAATTTTTCCCTCTGTCTCTCTTTTGTAGATATTATACTTAATGTGCTAGAAATTCAGTGAACAATGAAAAGCAATAAGCCAAGACGCCATCCTCATAGTTTCCTAACTATATAATTAATATGCTTACTTGAAGAGCAGGTGAAATTCTAGTTGTGGATATATCTTTCTTAATCTTTCTCATGTAAATTGTGAAGTATTTTATATTGAGATTTACGGCCAATGCATTTATCACCCTTTTTCTAATACGTGAAATACCAGTGTTATATATCATCTTCTCATTTCGTGTTTTCTGATGCTGATCCAAATTACAGTGCTGTTATAGGCACATTTCAAGACATAAATAAAATTATATAAAATTAAAGAATTAGGGAAGAGTCTTTATAGCCACAGTTAAATACACAGATACTTAGATTTTTGATGAATAAGTGAGGTAGGAAATATAATGAATGTATTTGAATACATTTCCTCAATTTGATGATTATGAATAGACAGTGAAGTGAAGACTGAACGAAAAGAGTTTTACTTTTCTAATGAAGGTATCAGCTGGAGTCTCCAGTCTCTTTAGGATCCAGGTCATATTTGCATTATCCCTTTTTCGATTCCCAGTGAGAGTCTGAAGCCTCCCCTGAGATTTCTGCAGATTCCCGTCTGGTGTGTGGTCTCAAGATTAACGCAGAATCGGAGCTTCTGTATCTGTGCATGTTTCTGCGTTCTGCATTTTGTTACCTGGCCCTTTTCTCAATTCCCTTGACAAATCAACTGAAAAGTGTGGCTAAAAGTAGACTCGACTAAATGGAAGTGCAAGGGCGTTTCCAAAACATTTCAAGTTGGATGTTAGACCTCTGTGTCTGTCGGTGTCCTTCAGCAGCTCTCTCTGGGTAGTTTGACCCATACCTTCTTCACTCAGGTGGTGCCCGCATCACACCAATTTCCAGGCTCTCCTCTCACCACACAAACTCTCTGAGATTTTCAATATAGCATTCAATTTACCTTCCTGGTCATGCAAAACACTTGTACTTCCAAGGTACTTTACCAAGGTGATGGTGCCCGCATCACACCAATTTCCAGGCTCTCCTCTCACCACACAAACTCTCTGAGATTTTCAATATAGCATTCAATTTACCTTCCTGGTCATGCAAAACACTTGTACTTCCAAGGTATATTAAGCAAAGATATTTTTTCTTTTAAGAAAAAGTCCATGCTAGATACTTAGAACACAGTTTCACCTTCTGTTTTGCTCAGTTTTATGCTTGTTAGTTCAGCAGTCCTACCAAGTCAGTCAGCCAGTCTGGAAGATGGGTTGTGCCAAGAATATGGATCTAAAATCATTTCAGGACAAGGAATCAATGTGAAAACTGAAAACAGTATCAGAAGGAAAGTTGTAAGTGTAATGATGAGAAAGAATAAGAATCAGAAAAGGTGAGCAGAGCTTGGGATTCTTAGAATCACTGAAGAGACCCCAGGCAGTTTAAAGCTTTGTCGTGTGGTTCGTGAACTTTCTTTTTAGAGCTGGCAGCCATGAGTGTGACGGTAATCATGGCCCTCTACTCACGAAATTGCCTCAGAAGGACTGGAGAGTGATAGCAGTTAGATTCCCAGTAGCCTTAGTAAGATTGAAATGAACACCCAAGTGAGTCTCATGTGTGAAAGCTTAACAAGAGAGGAGGGGATTTTAGGTTTCTCCCTCCTGTACTTCCCCGCTCCTACCCTTACCTCCTCTCCTTGGGATTGGCATTTTAAAAGAGGAAGCTGTTATCCAAATTGCTATTCTCCTTAGGATGCAAATAACATTTTAGTAAGAAGATTGGTCCTGGTTCCTGCAGGGTTCTGTGTCCTTGAGCAGGTGCAGCAATGCTGTGCACAGCGCCCCCTGGTGATCTGACACTGGCTTTTCAATGTGGCGAGAGAGGAGCGTCTCCAAGAGAGACCAAGGTGTCCAATTTCCAACTGCATTTCTTGAGACCTTATCTGCCCCACTGAAAAAGCTCCCGTTAACAACAGACTTTTGGAGATATTTTTCAGAGAGTTTCCAGAGTCCTCTCTTTTCATTTTTAACCTAAACTTATTTTCTCTCTTATTATTTTAGTCGGTAATTGTAAAGCATATTCCAATGGCAGCAGGAACAGAATGGGGCTACAAACGAAGGGAGAAGTATGCTTTATAGCGTGCAATAGTGGGAAAATAAATACATGCACATGTAGAATGATTCATTTAAGATTTAAAGTCATAATTGTTGCAATATCAAGATATGTGGGTTAAAGTAAATTACTTGAGTTCTGGCTAGATAGAAATCAGTGATGGTTAGGAAGCACTTTACATCTTTCCTTATTTTATCCTATCTTACCTCACTCTAGGAAGCATTCAAGACCATATACATTCAACACAACAAGATAAAAGGAAATCGAAAAGCAAACAGGGCAGCTCATGAAATAGAGGGAGTTATTTAAAAGACTGAAAGTATGGTTAGGGTTTGGTATTTAGGGAGAGGCAAGATACTGAGAATCCACTACCTTCTCAGGTAGATAGTCCCCTTTCACTGAGAATATCCCCAGGAGTTCAAGGGAGGCTTTCCCAGGATTTTTCAAGAGACCGGAGCACTGACCAGGGTTGAACTAGATGATATGCCCGAGGCCCCAGTGCATGAACAAAGCATTTATGGGGAAATTATCATGTGTGTGTCACTGTCACCTCTGTCAGGCTGTTATCAAAGAACGTTAAGGCTGGGTTCCTGGGTTTATAACACTTCCTCTGAAAAAAGACCAACATGCATGTAGTAACTAGAGAATAATAAGAAGTGGTAGGGCATGGAGTGTAAGTTGCTGGGTATTTAGGACTGTCATGAAGGAAGACCTTAAAGAATATTAGGATTTGGGAGGAGAAATCATGTCAATTTTGGAAAATTCCTTTGTGGGGATTTGGACAGACTGCTGTATGTGGAGCATGAAGAGCTTGGGCTGAGATGAGGCTGCAGAAGTCTGGGTTGGAGCTCCTTTTGTATTTGCGCCCCCCCACCCCCCAATTCCTAAATGCATGCAGCAGCTCCGGTCCAGGTCCTGGATACTGAGACCAGGTGATTCTGATCTGAGGGGTTAAGGTGTGGCTGTGGCATCCTGAGCACAGAGCTGCTGAGAAGGCTGGTCAGAGAGCAAGTGTGTGCCAAGGGGTATCTGTCCAGAGGAGAAAGAGAAATGGGAACATGGAATGCTGTGGGGGTGGGGAATAGAACCAGGTGGAAAGTAGTCAGTCAAGAAGACCGATGCCCACTTGGTAATAGGTTTTGACAGCTGTCTATTAATGGCACGAGGGAAGGGAGCTGCTGCTTTGTGAAGGGGGTCTGGTATTTGTGCAGAGGGAAGGGTAGAGCAGAACGTGCTGGGAGAGCTGGGGAGGGGATACCTGGGGTCGGGTTTAAAAAGAATAGCATAGCAAGTGGCCTACCTTAGCATGTAGCATGAGAAAACAGGCCTTACTAGGACAATGAGGATTGTTAGCAGTGAGAACCTTTTGAGGGCTAAGGAAAGAAAAAAAAAGCATGAAAAGGAGAAATAAGATAGAAAGGGAGGGCAGAAAAAAAAAAGTAGAGCCAGGAAAGTGGAAGGAACCCGTGCCCCACCCTTTCTGTCCTCTATTCCATGTCCCTGGTCATCCTTGGCTTTCCTCTCTCACGTTGCGTTCCATCTGTCAATTGTTTAATATTACTTTAGAAATAGACATTGTTTTCCTGGGGGTCTCTCCCTGTTATAGAGTCTTCCCAACTTTAAAATTTCTGTCCTTTTAGCCTAATGTGAAGGAGAACGCTACCATGCCCGAGGTTGGAGGTGAAGGTATCTCTGTGGCCCTGCAGGAGAATTCAGAGGATTGAGACAAAAACCCTTGGTGTAATTGAGAAGCAGGCTCTTCTTTGGTAGAATATAGCATCCCCGTCCCTTCTTGCCCACCTTATTCTCAGTAGCCCTGGGGTTGTTTCTTGAAAGAGAAAGCCCAGGAACACTCCCATGATTCTCTGCTCCCATGCAGGGGGCAGGTACTTCTATAAGCCTTTTCAAACTGTTATTTACATAGGTTGCTGTTGTCTTCATAGCCTTCTGTAGTCATCAGCTTTGTCAGGCAACTTTAAAGCTAAACTAAGGAAAAACGGAAGAAAAGAAAAGAAGGATAGGATCGTCGTGATCACTGAGCAGGCGTTAAGAAATAATTATATTTTGTGCTAAAAAAGAAGACAGTGACATACAACCGACATTTTTTCAGCAAAAGAACATTCGACACACTCTATCAAAAGCTCCATCTCTAGGCTAGATTCTAAAACAATTTGTAATGCTGTTGACTTTAAAAGGGACAACGGATTTTAAAATTAAGCATTTCTTAAAATGTTAAGTAAATAATAAATGTGCCTTGTGTTGACAGTCCTAGCGAGAGAAACCCACGGTGATATAGGTTAGAGCAAAAATGTGTTCTAAACCACGCTTTTTGTTTTCTACTTGTGGTACAAAGATAAAACTCAAGGAAATCTCTGTCTCTCACCTGTCATGTTTGCGTGTTTTTTATACTTTGGCACCATCCTTA